AAGTGGTCTTGGTCATGTATGGCTTGCTTTGTATAGCTCTAGTGTAATTGGCTTCACTAGTCTTGAGTTTTGAGACCACTAGCATGCTCTATTTGTGATGTGTGCATGATATGGCAGCACATGGCATGTAATTTCAGAGCATATGTCATTGCCACACTCTCACATTTTCCTCTCCTTCAATGTGTTTGAGAGTTGAATCTTCGTGCCTTATTTGCGAGCCATCAAATGAGCATGTTTTCCTTGTGTTATATGCCTTGATCTTAGCATATTTCAGCCACTATTTTGGCATATTTAACCTCTGTTCGGGGTTGGTTTGGTCATTTAGGCTTAGTATTTTATGCCTATAGTGCTATGCTCTTTGCTAGTTTCAATGCTTTCGACTCTGAGTATGCCTTGCATGCATTATTTTCGTGTTTTGATGTCATTTAGCTTACTATTTCAGTGCTGGAATATATGTCATCCCATTCTTCATTTGTTATATCACTTTGAAAGAGGTTTTAAGCCCTTTGTTGGTTTGACTATGAAATCGAGGCGTTCATGCCTAATGGTTTTAGCCTTCTCTTGTGGGTTTCTTTTAACTAACGTCATGATGCTTCTTTCATGTTCAAGATGCTTGTGGCTTAGTCCGTCTTTCCATTTAGAGGACTTCTCACTTTTGGACTTAACCGGTTAAAGGATTAATTGGTAATCTAAAATGTGTAAACAAATTGAATCGAAGTAAAATGTGCCAAGATAACATGTTTGTGTTGCATTACATGTGTTTGGATCGGACATTAATCCAAACACGAGAAACGAAGGATGTTTCATACTCAAAGTGGTGAAACGTGCCTCATTTCTTAGTCGCCGATACCCTTGATCGTGCATGATAGGGTGGAGGCTCATCGAGTCTATTTGTGCATTCATTGACTTGTACAAACTTAGCTTCTCGGCCATCGTGCATTTCGATGCTCAGTTGGTGGCCCGAGAGTCGAATACCACACTCATTTGAGCTTGAGGCATGATAAGGAGTGTGGTGGTACACAGATTCCCTTGCAAATACACTGCCATGCCCCTATTTGTGCTCTGTTGCAGCAAAAGGAGAAATTGCAGGAAGCAGTGGCCGACCGGCTATCAAAGCTGTCGACTGACCACCAAGGCTGCTGATCGGCTATCAGAATTGGCCAATGGCCATCCCTCTCGGCCGACCATCCCTCAGTATATTCCTAAGGTAGGTCAGAAGTATCTTAGAAGTTGGCACAATTTTCCGAAGTACAGAAGTGTGCAAACAGAGGCATCTTGAGGCACGGTAGTGGATTTCTGGGAGGAGGACGCACTACAAGAATTCACACATTTGCCGACCACTTTTGCCGACCAAAAAAATTTTAGTCGCAAAAAAATGACATTTGGCAACCAAATATTAATTAGTCGCGAATGATCATTATTTTTGGCGACCAAATATTATTGGTCGCAGAAGGTTATATTTTGGCGATCAAAAAATATGTTGGTCGCAGAAAGTGGTATACTTTTGCCGACCAACTACAAATTTGGTCGCGGAAGGTCACATATTTTTTGGCGACCAAAAATTTGGTTGTGAAAAACTTATTTTCAGGAACCAAAAAAAATTAGTCGCCAAATTAGTACTTTTCGCGACTAATATTTTAGTCGTCGTTGATTGAGATTTGGCGACTAAAAATTTTTGTCGGTGAAAGAACCTGTTTTTGCGACTAATTTGATCTTTTGGTCGCCAAAAGTTTGGGAGGGAAATTTGAAACGTGGGGCGGGAATTGAATTTCTGAAAAAAAATAAAAGCCCTAATCTCCCTTATCTCTATCTAAAAAAAGCCCTAATCTGTGTCTCTCTATGTTGGTCCGCCCTCTCCCTCTCTCTGTGTTCTCTCTCTCAATGGGTGCCCACTCTCTCTAGCTCACCGAAGTAGGAGAGAGATGAACATCTCTGCATCGTGCACACTGAATGGCAAGCAGCGTACGCCACCGCTGCATCTCTGCACACTGAATCTCTGCATCGTGCACACTGAACGCCACCACTGCAAATCGCCATCGCCCTTTGTCTAATGGACTCCTCATTTCTGGGGGATCCTCATCCAATCTCACCTCATCGCAGACCAGTGTCGCACGCCATTGCTAGCTCCACCGCCACCGCTAGTGCCACCGCTGGATCCTCACAGGTTCTCTCTGACTCTCCGTCTGTCTATCTGTCTGTCTCTCTCTATTTCTCGTTGTCTCCCTCTCTAGCCTTTGCCCTTGGTCTCTCTCCCTCTCTTTCTCTCTCTCTATATATATATATATAATGCGGCGAATTTTAGTACAGAGAGAGGGATTTGAGCTCTGATGAATTGATTCCATTTTTGGTCAATTTCTTGATTGATTATTGTTGAGAATGAAAGGTTTTGTGGGTTTTTAGATCTCATGGTTTAGAGGATGGTTTTGTGGGTTTTGAGATCTCATGGTTTAGAGGATACATAAACTTTTATTTATAGTTCAAGGAGAAATAGAAAAGACACTCACAAAGTGAGTAGTAATGTCGCTAACAAATCCCAATTAAATAGCACAGAATTAAGTTTTCAAACAAGATGAAAGAATATTAGTATTTTCACAATGGAATAATACTCAATAGGATTTCTAAGGATAACCAAACCAATCAGATAGCATAAATTAAGTTTTTCATCAAGCAAGAGGAAAGAATATTTGTATTTCCACAATGAGATAATACTCAATATGATTTTACAGGGTTGAAACTCACCACAGCCAAATAGCTTTATAAATTAAGTTGAAGCTTGACTTAACTCACTCAATAACCTTTGCTAAAAATATTTGAGGCTGGCTCAAATCCCTGTTAGCTGTTTATGATATCTTTATTATTAACAGCGATTTTCTATGAGAAACTAAAAAAGTTGCTAAAAAAATCGTACTTAATACACAGGAATCCCACTTATAGTAAGGATTCTCATCCATTTTCAATTGCATCAAACCCTCTAGGACTAATTAATCAAAATAGGCTATGTAATTCAGTTAAAAAGAAAGGCATACTAGTTAGTTATTAAAATGTAGAACTGTTTGTTTCACATGTTAAATATAGATCCTTATGTACCATATCATCTATTACATATGAATTTTAGAATTCAAATGCCATTATTTGTCAATATATCGGTCGATATTAGCCGACATATCGGCAATAATGATACATAATATGGTTACCATTATTTAAAACCATGATTTATCCTTGTAAATTTGGTCAAAACACATTCAACTACATGATTGAACTAACAATTTTACTTGTGCCTAGCAGGCTGGCATAGTGTTTGGCCCCTCACTCTTGGGACATGAAGTTGTCTTAAGCTCTAGATGACCAAAAGTTACAATCGTCTGACCCAAAATTACTAGAAAAATGTTGCTAGAACAAGAACGGAGGGATGAAATTGACTGTTCAGAGGCAACTTGGACTAATAGTCTAACCACTAAAGAGGGTTTAAGTGCATCCTCAAGTGTTTTAACACAATTTGGGTAATAAATTTGCACTTAAGCATAGGTCATCTACCATAAACAAAAAAATTCTCTAAGGTCATCTACACCATAAAATAAAGATAACTACTTCAAAGATCCTATTAATCTAATCCTTATTTTCAAGATCCAATCTGATTTTACTCTTGAAATATTTATTTGCTCTGAGTTTTGCTCAATATAATATAATGACATGTGTGGCAATACTTACTCCCTAATCTACCACTGCTTTGAGGTAGATTCAGTTTCTGATCCAACAGTTTTACAGGATAACTATTATTTGTACTTGTGCAGTGATTTGTCTGTAATTGCCTGATTCATTCAGAAAATATTTTGAGTGATATTTATGTACTTTTAAAATTTATCAATCTGAGAGTTGCTGTTCATGCAAGAGAAGAAGGCCTTGAGAGAAGAGAAACTGAAACAAGAGGAAACGTATATGTGGGTTAGCCTTGATGGTGTCAAAGAGAAGGTTTCTGCTAGCTTTGATTTATGTATCATGCTTTGGAATTTGGGGTGTCATGCCTTGCTCTGATTTGTGAATACGAAATTTACTATTTACCTGTTAAAAACAGAAAAGCTATAATAGATATTCTGCCCCAACATCAATTCTTTTTAGTAATGGCACCCCTTCCACCCCTTCCACCCCCCTCCCCACTCTCTCTCTCTCTCTCTCTCCCTCCTTTTATCATTTCCAAAGTTGGATATTGTACAAAAAGAAATTTGAAAGAACTACTCAAGTGAGCTGTTCACATGGAGCAACTTTTTCTTAGTATATAGCACTTGGATAAGAACTCTCGGCTCTGATTATCACTTATATATTTGATTGGAAAGTTTCATTTTGTTATTAGGGATGGGGTTCTTCGTAGTGGTATTCCAATTCCTTATCTTTAATTCCTGCCATCCAAGACTATTCTAAGATACATTGGGGTCCTCATCCTTGTGAAATATATCAATTTGCTAGCTATGACATACTGACATAGTATAGTTGCTTTGGATGCATTTTCTCATCATTCTCAAAGCATTCATATAGAGTCTGATCAAATCTCAAACTGCTGGTTGGAAACTTTTGAGTCGAACCGCCTGGGTTGTTTCGAGGCCGTGGGGAGCACCCAAAGGTTCTATTGATAGCTTTCTACCAGCGATGAAGAATTTAAATAGTCCAAGATGGAATATGTGATGTGTTGTAGCTGTATCTAGAAGACTTTGCAATAGTCTCCAGTTTTCATTCAAAACTTACTATTGATTTTTTTATTTATGTTGTTCAGATGGGTAAGCTGAAAAAACGCATTCTTTTGGTTTTATTGCAGTTTTATTTAGTTTTTACAACTTTGGAGAGTGACTTGACTCTTGACTACTTTTTTAGAATGCATTGCTATCTACATGTTTGTTTGATTTGGTTCTAAATCAATTTGTAGTTGTTGCTTCTTTGCAACCATGCCAACACTAGGTGCCTATGTGGCATGCCATGAAAAATAGCCTCTCTTTTTTTTCTTTTTTTTAAAAAAAAAAAATTTACATAGCATTTTCGTTTTGAAAATCAGTTTAGATAGTTTGAATGGCTAACTAAAATAAAGTCTTGTTGGAGTACACATTAGCTAGAGTTGTTTGGCAAAATAGAGAGTGCAATTTTTTGTGTGCTTAGGCAAAATGCCTAGAAGTGTGAGTTTTTTCTTCTCTTTCTCCCTCACTTTTGCAAGGAACTAAACAGTACCTTTACCTCTTTCTACTTCTCAATCACTCCGTATTCATGTATATACTGGTGTCTTAACCTAATTGTTTTCCTGTGCTTTTTTGCAGTGATGGAGGCAGAGATAGTGGCGAAACCGCAGGCTGTGAATCCATGCTGTGTTGTGGTATTGATTTATTTTTAATTCTGGTCATACCATTTTTGTAGTTATTTTTTTTAATATGTGTTTTGTATGTGCAGTTGAAAGAGAAATACTCAAAGCTGGAAGCCTCACGGAATGCTCTTCGACAAGGTGTAAAGATCCAAAATGAACTCATTGATAAACTTCAAAAGGAAAGCCTCAATTTTAACAAAGGAATGCTCTTTATTTTTTGTTTGGTTACCAGAAAACGGATGGTGAATAGGAAAATATGATTGAAGTATGTGGAAATTTTTTATTTCTTTTTAGATATCATTTCTCCTTCCTTTTTTCGTGATTTCATAGAATTTGTTTTAATCTGTTGTTTTACAAAGTTGGGATGTAAACATGATGGTAAATGGGTTTTCTTTTTCTCTTAGCAATTCCAAGCTCTGAACAAAGCTTTAGTGGAACAATCCATCTTAAATTCTGTCAATCCCCTTAAATTTTTTATGGTAATGCCTCGTGAAATTAAGGTCATATGGTACCTGAGGCTTCTGCTTACAGTTAGATTTGGGCAAGAGTAGGTATGTAGCCTTACCCCACTTTTTTAGGGAGAGGCTAATTCGCCATAGCTCTAGGGTGGATAGCACTTGTTATCACACCAGCTTATGACCTGTAAATACCATATGAAATCAAGAATCTAAATTTGGAGGTGCCAAAATATTAATTTTTCTTGCACCCTCCACCTACTGTTAAGGTGACCTTGAATTTCACTAGTTCATTACAATAAGATACAATGTTCATCCTTTAAGTAAACCTTTGCGTGCTCCAACCATTATTGGTCAATCTGCTACTTGTAGCAAATCTGTACAACCTCTGTTTTTCTAGCTTTGTGATGGTTCCATAGGAAAACCAATGTTCTGCCTATATATATATTTATATATCTGTGAGCACGCACTTGTGTGTGATCTTTCTTGATGTAAGGTCAATGAGTTTATGATGGTCAAATGCATATGGGGATGCACATCCCTAGAAAAAGCTTCATCCATAGTAATTGGTGAGTGACGTTGACTTCCACTTGATATTGTCTAAAAAACTTTGAACTTATTTTCTGATGAGTTACTGTCTTCAGTTTCATCTTTATAATAAAATAAAATTCATCGTCTCACCTGTCTGTTTGTAATGTTATCTATCCTCTTAAGTCGCATGAACTTATACAATTGAGATAACGTCTTGCTGTGACATGTTGACATAATACTGATCCCCATTGTGTTTTTGCATGGAAAGTTCAGAAGTACAATATATATGGAAGAGAAATGCCAATTTTGATCCAATGAAATCTGTGAGCGTATGTATGTTGATTTTTATGCTTGGGTTTACATGTGATGTGTAAATTTACCATATTTTTGCAGATACAGAAATTGAAGGAAATTTATACTAGTAGATTAATAACATTTTCCTTTTCTTTATTGTGTCATTTCTTTTCCAGCATATGAGGAGGAAAGGGTGCAGGCTGATGCTGAAAGGCAGGAGAAAGCAAACGAGTCAGCTATTCGAGTTTCATTGGAGAATGAGATATCCTTTCTGAAGTCTGAGATACTTTCATTGCATTAGAGAGGGGGCTCACTAGCTCAAGATGTGGATGGGGAAGTAATTCTTCTTCGAGCACGCCTTTCTGAAATGGAAATGGAAATAAAACGGTTCGAGGAGCTTGTCAAGAAAGAGAGAATGGAAACAGCTTCAGAGAGGAGAAAAGCTGATGTTGAGAGGAAGGAAGCTAATGAAGCACGGAAAATTATGAAGGCAGAAAAAAGTAGGGCTGCTAAAGAAAGGAGACTTGCTGATACTGAACGAAAAAAGGTTGAGGAAAATCGAATTTAGTTGAAGAAGTTAAAGAGTGAAGCCGATGAAGCAAGATCAAACTTGGTTTTGGAGGCATTCAAGTTTGAAGAGGCAAACAAAAAGATTCAGTTAGCTCATGGAAGAGCGGAGAAAGGTTGCAGAAACAAATAAGAAGGCGGCCATAGAAGAAAGACATCGTGCGAATCAGTTAGCTCAGCAATTAGAGGATAATAAGCGAAGAATAGAGGAACTATAGAAAGAGATATTGGAACTTGTGTCCTCTAGAACATCGGTTGAGGCTCCTGCTGTTCTGCCTGATAAAAATATGAATTGTGAAATTGCTATAATGAAGTTGCAGAGAAAAAAACTGAAGTTTAAAAAGAAGCAAGTAAAACATGCAAAAAAAGTTGCTGAGTTTGAAATATATCGTAATAATATACTACAACAAGAACTATGTTGCTTAAGGCAGGGTTTTGTTCAATTTTCGCATCGCCTGGATGTACTAAATATTCTCACATCGGGGTGAAGGTAGTGATGACCTGGTAAAGGTCGGTTTCTCTTTTGCTTATTATTCATTTAAACTATCTGAACATACTTGAATTAAATTTTTGTTGATTATTTGATAGGTACAGTGATGTCATTTATCAATAATAGTCTATAGCATACAGGTTTCTAGTGTTTGTTATTGGACTATATTTTGGTTGAGTTTACTTAGAAGCAAGTTAATTGAAGTACATACTTATTTGACTGATGGCTGTTTAGCTTTTAATCTGATGGGTGAGTAATCCAATCAGGGCTTATGCTCTTATAATTCATCATGGACTTGCTTGTATTTGTATTTTAATAAATATTAGGAGATAGTTATTTGGTTGAAGATTATAAATAATGCTATTCATATGTAGCTGTTGTTAGTCAAGTTTTGTAGCCTGAGAATATATAGTTTCAACTTTAAATACTTTAGTTATGTGTTGAGTACTTATTCATCCTATTTTCTGTATTCTTTGCAAGTGATTAGATTTCGATATCTTATGCTTTTTTATTTTTTCTCCTTCCTTGAACCAGAGCATACACAAGTTTCTTCACATGGTATTTACTTAACTACTTGTCTAATTTTTGCAGACTGGCAACGTCTTTAATACTCCAAGCTTAAACTTGAGCTTGTAAAGTCTATTTGCACAGCTATGGATGCCTCTGATTTTATCAAGCGAACCACAGAATGTACTGCACCATCACTTCCTATTAGTGGAGGAAACTGTACAAAATGCATTTCACGTATTGATTCTAAACTGGAGCCTCTAATTAGAGGTTCTAACAGAAAAATGTTACAGAGTTCTGTCATAAATTCCTGTACAGCATCTTTTTCTGATAGACAATTGACGCGCTCACAGGAAAAAGGTGTTTTTTCTGTCACCACATCAGCTAAATTGGCAGAAGAGAAATCGAATTCACAACCAAACGTTTCCAGCTTGTCTGGTGAAGTTACCAAAACGAGGTATAATGAAAATCTGGCCGTGGTGGCTGAAAATAGTGTCAGAAGTCCTATTAGCACTGATACTGTTGGGAGGACTGGGCATAGTAAGATGAGTTGAGATATTACTTGGGTTTGACTGATGAGTTGAGATATTAGTTGAGATATAATGTAAAGTTTAGTATGTAGCTTTTACTTTGTTATCTTGCAGACAGTCTTGCTATTTTTTTGGTGGGGAAGGTTAAGTTGATTATGTTCTCTCTCTGTGTCTGTCTCTCTTTGTACTTGACACGATTGTAAAGAAATTAAGTTGTGTTGTAATGTTTATGATTGATGGGAAAATGTTCCGATCTTTTGCATTCCATGGCAACTGAGTGTGAAATGTTGTACTTTTGTCCCAAATTCCCAATAGCTTTTGCTAATCAAAGCCCCAAAACTAGTAAGGGCACTCGTGGCCCAGTAAGTTATATTTTTGCCGACTAAATAAAGTAGTCGGTGTATCACCAAGCACATTTGGCGACTAAATACTTAGTCATTAAAATTATTAATTTTGGCAACCAAAGGATTATTAAAATTATTATAGCGACCCCGGTCTATTTCCTTTAGATTATTGTATCCGGACTTAGGTTCCGTGGATCCTGTAAGTATATATTGGTTGTTGTTGTCCTTTAATCTCTTTGTATTTGAGTTATAGGATGTGTTGGGCGGGTCTGTTACAGGTCGGTTGAGTTTAGATGCCAAAACTAGTTGCCCAGATTTTGACCTGTCCGCTCGAGCGGGAGTTTGACGCTCGAGCGGGGATTCTTTTGTTGCTTGTACGCTCGAGCGGGGGTTTTGGTGCTCGAGCGGGATTATCACCCATCCAGTATTTCCTGTGTAGTGTTGGACGCTCGAGCGTGGGATTGGACGCTCGAGCGGAAATGTGTGAGTGTCGCTCGAGCGAGGAGTTGGTCGCTCGAGCGGGGGGCCTGGTTCTGCAAAAGTACGCTCGAGCGGGAGTTTGGACGCTCGAGCGGGGAGTCGACTACATCAGTCCGAGATTTCACTTTTTGGATCACTTTTTGACCTACTTTTCTTTCTTAACTTTTAGAAAACCGCCCCTTGAGAGTCTCTCTCTCTTTCTCTCTCTCTAAACCTGCCTTCTCTCTAAGAATTGATCTACCTAGGGTGAGTATCTAACCTTGGTCCTTTATTAAAAAGATAGAGTGAGTCAAGGGCTTTCATTCAATCTGAACGTTTGGTGGTTTGGAGCACTTTGGAATTTGGGTATTCATCTTCGTCTTCTCCATTCGGGTTATTTTCTTCGAGGTAGGGATTTCCTACTCCATCCTATAAGTTTTGTTCTAAGTTTTGGTATTTTGATATGTTGGGAGTACTTTGGTAATTTTGGGAAAAACCCTAGTTGTATTAATAAATTAATTTGTATAATTAATTTAAGGAAATTGGGGAAATTGGTTAAATGCATGAAATTGAGGAATTCATTGATTAAATGGTGTAGTTGGATAATTAAAATCACTCGCCTATTGAAAAGTTGATATATTTATTTCCAGTCTAGAAATAACTGTTTTGGGCTATCGGTGGAGGATAATCGTGTTTGTTGTAGACATTACATGTGGATTAGGGAAAATTGAAACTAATCAATTTGGTTAAGTCATAAATTTAGACTATTGAATTAATACAGAAATTACATGTATTGATTGAGCATTGCATATGCATATTGTTTGGGAGGAGATAGGGGATGGACTCCATTAGCATCACTATTATGTGTGCTTATTATATTGAAGTGTTTTTACATGTTATTGATACAGCACTACAATGTGTATCAAACGGGAAGTATGAAGTGTTTTGATATGTGCCTGAGTCTCATTTGTTTTGTTGATATTGAAAGTAATGTGAATATGAT